TTGGTTGCTCATTGCTTGGATATCCTTCTCAAAAAACATCCATGGCCGCCTTTTTCAGCTTAGAATTGACTTGGCCCCTTGGACCGAGTGGCCAAGGCGACGATTTTCCCAGAAACACAATTTTTTCGTTGAGGATGTGGCAGCGGCCATGATGAAACCGAAGTGTGCTCAAAGATTCCCAAATGCGTTGGTGGTTACAGCAAAGGTCAAGAGCAACCACTTGAGCGACCGCTTAAATACCAGTTCATCCCAGGTGTTTGATGGTGTTGATGGTTACCCTCTGGTAATCAAACATGGCTGACTGGGAAATCCACTATATACTATATCAATGGGCGCATTCAAGGGACAACTATCGATAATTGTGGGATTTTCCAGCAAACCATGTTTGATTTCCAAAGGGTATGTTTGGACCCAGAATGATTTAGTGTGGATAATTGGTTATTGCAGAGAAAAAGGGGGAAGCCGTTCTTAACCAGCAGTTTGGGGGATGACAAAGGAAGCACAGCTCAAGCATAATCCATGGAAATCATGTCTCCCCCTAATTTAGAAACGATGATTTGTTATTGGACCTGTCGATTTTTTTTGGGTCCATACAGAGGTATTTGATAGAGATGGGATTGTTTAAAAAACACACTATTGACCTCCTGAAAAAATCCTTGACCGAGACTCAGTCTACCACAGATCAGAAGCTTTGCTGGAAATTGCATCAATGGCTAGCTCGGTTCGCTTTTTCGGTCCCCTCCGAAATCGGATGATTTTTCAGTCGACTTCAGAGTTAACTGTTGACCAACCTCTGAAATTCCATTGGTGCTGGACCTATTTCATGACCTATTTTGACCCATCAGCCTTCGCAGATTCTAGGTGTTGCTACTGAGATTTCCACTTGGAATGAGTTCATTGGAAGCCAATTTGATCCAAAAAGATCGGATATCCCCAGTTGTTTACGGTGAAAATCCATGGGTTATCCCCCAAGCCACCACAGGGTTAGTCTAGGATCATTGCTATTTTATCATCGGCTTCAGTCACTATCCTTTGTTAGTGGAGGGAGAACACAACTCATTCACAAGGACAATTATGGATTGCTTCGTAGGATAGAAGCCTAATGATTCCCTCTAAAAGTGTTATCCTATTTGAGAACCCCAATCGGTGTTTTCCACTTCACTATCCTATTGCTTCAATCCCCAGTGTTTCTTTGAATCCTAATCTGACATAGGATAACTTAGATTTTCCACTTCCCCATTTTCCCCATTTGGACGCACGGTGTCACGGTGACCCCTGAAATTCAGGAGGGCCCTGGCGACTAGCGCCAGTCTTGTTGGCAATCTGGCAGACGCAGGCGGGCTTGCATGGTCAAGTTACACAAGCAATTTTCCCATCTTGGGGGGTGGGAATAATCAATACTACTCAATCCATTTTCATATATAACTTAACTATATAACCATTATTATCTGGGAATCCCACTCATGATGAGGGGATGACCCAACCCTATCAATCCTCTGTAACTTGACCACGGCAGATATGGCCATGGGTCGAATTGTATCAAAAAATCCAGAGACCACAGGTTGGTGTTTCTTTAGGTTTAAATGTTTAAATGCTATGCAGTTTTGCCAAATCTCTCCCATAGAAAACAAGTGGATGCAGAGCTATGGCTCAACATGGGGAATGGACCCACCTGTGGCCTGGCCCTGGCGCTAAACCTTGACATTTCAAAGGCCATAGATGTCCTTTCCCATTTCTTGATTCATAGCGGGATTACCTCCATTGAACAACACTTTGATAAGGTAAATGATGAGAAATGATATACCACACCGACCCCTCTATTTTCCCAAAAAGGATATTGTCATCCGACAAGTCGTTATAGTCTGTGCTGTGCCGATCTTTTTCAGCTCTGAAGGCCAAACTGAGAACAACTCAGTAGTCAATACCTAGCGTGAAAAGAGACTATGACTAATCGTCCTCCCAAATGAACATAGACCTTGATAGACCTTGAACAAGACCTTGAACATCGTCAATTCTTAGGGAAACTCATCTTCCAAGCCCAGTGGCGTTTTTCGAGGCTTCTGATGATGTGACGCCGCTGAACGCCTGAAACCTGGCGAGCTTTTTCGCTTCCAACCAATGGCTTGTTTTGCTTAGAGGGTTTTAGCAGCAGTAAAATTCCTATGGTTACCTGTAAGTTATATATATATATTATATATATAGCTATTAATTCCTAAAGAATTGAGCCTCTACTTCATCAAGGAAGATCAGCTTCCTCAAAGATCAACGCTTAGACATCCTTTTCGGATCTTTTTGGGACTTGGAAGTTAGGCTCCATGGTTAGAAACAAGAGGTACAACCCCAACAACTGGGATACATTGGGAAAGCCAGATACTCATCATCTGCTCATTTCCAAACAATCTATGGGTCATAACCTGTTGGGTTGTGGGAACCACATATTTACAGGGAATGGGAAGCCGTAACCTTTGGATTTCATCCGAGGATATGGTGACCATCATAGCTTAGGTCTCGTTTCCGCGAGGGGGCTTCAATCATAGCACCTTCGGCTGCGTGGAAAACTGTGGTGGATGTCTGGACTTTTTTGGGATTTCAATTCTTTCCAGTTGATTTTTTCCACTGTTGAGTAGGAGCAGTGCAAAGGGTGTTTCCCTTTGATTTAGCTACTACTGTACTGTTTTGGACTTGCAATTGTTTGTCCAATACTAAAACAATGGGTTTGTTTGTGTATTTAATGCTAGGGGGAAGGGATTATATTCCATGCTCAACCCGTGGGGACGCCAGGGTTCTGAGTGCCACAGCCATGTGTTAAGATTCTGCTTCTGCGCTAAAAATCTCAAGTGCGAATTTGCACAGAAAATGGGAGTGTCAGAAAATGGGATATGCCACTGCCATTGCCATTGAAATAGAACACATGTTACCAGTGAATCTAGGGTGGATCAGACCCATTTAGACCCGGAGCAGTTCACAAATCCGCTGGTTGATAAGTTTTTTTTGTTCACCTACCCTTCAGATATTGAGCAATTGAGCATTATCGTAATCAATGAACTGGTAGTCCCGAGTAAATAAGACAAATTTTGGCATATTTTCGCGATTCATTTCCATATCATAGGAGATTACACTGCCACAAACCATATATATCTATATATATGGTCACCCCCCTCACGTCGACCCCCCTCATCTATATACATAACATGTTACTATTTTGAATGTTCCAATCGCTTCAACCATGCTTCGACTCACCCTCGACGAGCTCGAGGTAGATCGGACTTTGTGGCTGACGTTGTAGCACCGGTGGTCCGGGAGCACAGTCCATTGAGCCCAAGGCTTATATCCCTATGTACATAATATGAATGTAAATGTAAAATGTATGAATGTATGAATGTAATGTAATGTAATGCAATGCAATGCAATGTAATGTAAATGTAAATGTAAATATAAATGTAAATGTAATGTATGTCTGTGTGTGTATGTGTGTATGTGTGTATGTATGTATGTATGTAAGTATGTAAGTATGTGTGTATATATGTATGTGTATGTGTATGTGTATGTGTTTGTATATGTATATGTATATGTTTATGTATGTGTATATGTTTATGTATATGTATATGTGTATGTATGTATATGTATATGTAAATGTATATGTATATGTACATGTGTGTGTATATGTATATGTATTTGTATATGTATGTATATGTATATGTATATTTATATGTATATGTATATGTATGTGTATGTGTATGTGTTTGTATATGTATATGTATATGTAGATGTAGATGTAGATGTATATGTAGATGTAGATGTATATGTATATGTATATGTACATGTATATGTATTCATTGACATGTTTACATGTATACTGTATAATTTGGTGTATATATATATACATACATACATAGAGATACTGCATATATGCACACGCTTCTAGACGTATATGTAAATGCACATGCATAGAGAGTTGAGGAACACATACCCACCGTATTCGTAGTGATTTTGGGGATCATTTCAGTCCTTACTTTCCACATCATGAAACCTTAGCCATCCGTTGGCCTAGTCGGGCCTAGTCAGACAGGGCCCCAAGTTCTTGTGTATTTCTTTTAACCTATGGGTAGTTAGGAGCCTATCACACCCCATCTGAATATTTATGTCCGGGTATATGTGTATATATATATATTGATACATAAATGTGTGTATTTGGGTTTGTCTGAAAGTAGGGTACTCTCAAATCCAGTGCTAATAAACGTCATTATTCATTCCCCATGAAAATTGGCACAACTTTGGACATTCCCATCCTGTGCCGCCTCTGCTCAAGCTGGGGACGCGCAGTGGTTCAACCCGAAATTTGGGGGCGCGGGCTGTAAGCCACTGGGCAGCGGCTGAGTGAGGAGGGTGCGAAGCGAAGTCGACGGGGACATCAAACCAGAAGTAAGTGGTGACTTGGAAAAAGGCACATTTATAGACGATTGACCTATCATAAAAGGTGAATTGTCATAGCAAATTATAACAAATTGTTAGATTACCAGAGGGTTTTGCCAGATCTCAAGCAGTTGATTAATTTTTGTGATGAAATATTAGGAACATTGATGTCCTTTTCTGGTTGGTGAAGAATAGAGGTGATGATCCCTTGTTTAATAAGCAATAGAATCCTATAGGTAAACAATGGTAGTCGTGGTATGCCCTTTTCCCGGCAGCGATTTTTCCCAAAAGCAGTACCTTCAGCCAGTACCGGGCCGGTGGTTTCACAGAGGTTCCCGAAGGCTGATCACCACAGAATCCTGATGGAGAGATACCCTCTGGTAAACTAACATAACTATGGAAAATCACCATTTTTAATGGGAAAATCCACTATAAATAGCCATTTTCAATAGCTATGTTAGTCATTACCAGAGGGTACCCTGAAAGATCAGGGAATCCCTTGGAATGCTGTGAATCAAACCATCAGGATTTCTGCCATGGGATGCTGAAAACCCCATCCGCTGAGGGTCAGAAGGGGAGATCTGACCATGGCAAACACTGCCAATGGTTGGGGGTGCTCAGTTGGATGGGTTGACCTTGGCTTAGTTACTGTTTCCTGTTTTTTTAAAAGCCATTTTGACTGTTGGGGATGCTCGTCCACATCCGTAAAAGTGAAGCCCGGCTCATTTGAGATGGCCATGTGAACATCGTTTCGGTTGCCACCAGCACTTCCGAGTTTTGTCATTGCTTATTCTACTTCTGACTGATAGACAAACCATGACAAACCAATACGCGAACTATACTCTGGGATTATCCTGAGGGGTCGAAAATACGACGAAATACTGCGGTCATGAGCCGGCAGCGACGGTGACTGGAACATACGTGATTCATTTTCGGAAATGTCTTGGTGTCATGTGAAATAAGAATTCGACAGGAGGCAGAGTCAGCATCTAGATAAAGGATGGATTTTGCAGGCTCATTTTAGCCACATAGTCGAGGATTTAGTGTCATTTCCTCCTAAGAATGAGGATGTACTTCAGGATATCTAGTATCAGCGATGACATCGTGATGACGAAAAGTTTTTTTTTTGGTGACAAAAATACGAAATAACTAACTGACTAACTCATACACCACAAATTTTGCATTTCTCAAAGGATATACAAAGCTCAAACTCGGATTCCCACCATGAGTTCCTTGAATCACGAGGCTTTGTGGCCGAAGGAGAGGCCTACGACAAGTTCCTTGGTGTTTGAAGGGATTACACACCACATACCCTCTGGTAATGACTAACAGTTTGCTATTGAAAATGGCCATTTATAGTGAGTTTTCCCATTAAAAATGGTGGATCTTTCCATAGTTATGTTAGTTTACCAGAGGGTAATGTTTTTTTTTTAAAGGTGTCATAGTAGGTTCTGATCCCATCAGATATGATCCAGTTGGGACGGATGGTTCGGATTCCTGCTCTAATTCAGTGGGTCAAGAAAAACCCAAAGCCAGCGGTTTTATTGGTGGGCTCTCATTCCGGACCAGGTCGCAATTTCTGGACATTTTGCAATTTTGGGGAGTGCCCCATTGATAGTCAGATGATGCCCGACCAAAAACTTGACATGGGATGAAACCAACCGGCCGATGATTGTCCTACGAACGTCCTGAGGACTTTCCTAATGACCTTACTATGTTTCCGGCAATGAAACCAGCGGACCAGGATGTAGGGAATATTTGTACGTTCAAGATGGACGACGTGTGCATGAAGGTGAAGAATGAAGGTGAAGAAACTGCTGATGAATCACAAGAGGGGGGTTCATTCTCCTGGAAGCAGTGGTTAAATGATCTCATTCAAGATAACATTGTTGCACGGAGGGATGATATTCATTTGTAGCCCTTAGCCCACCGTGGCTGCGAGAACTTGGGAATACAACGAAATTCAGAAATCATCTCAGTTGCCCACATCTTGGCGGTGAAACACTGCACTGTGATGTTCAACTGTCACCAGACCCGGACATATGTGTATATATATATATATGTCAAAGCTGACAATTGTTTTCCCACCAGTCCCCTCCCCTAGCTGGTTCGCACCGTCTGTGCTTCTGAGGATTGTCTACGTGAGCAAAGTTCGATTGCAGGTTGGCAAAACTCGTTTCCGCAGTTCAAGTTTAACTTAAGAGCAACATACCACATTAAAAAATCCAGGACTTTTTGGTGCCCTGGTCCGATGCAGGAGTTGAAAAAGAAAATGAATGGAAAAAGCAAAGGTGCTGAAGCTTGGCAAAAATCTCGGCGCATCCAGCAGTCAGTGAAGCCACTATTGGATGGGTTGGTGTGGAGGTGTCAGCGGCGATGAATTCTACTTGGTTGCGATGTAGACTGATGGCGGGGTATTTTCTGCAGGTCTCAAAAGAGAAAAACAATGGGATGGCAGGGTACATATTTGCATGACCCGCAGATATGTGATTTCCAAGATCTTTTCTTTTTTTGATCCAGTGAACATGTTGCAAATATCAAATATCACTTAAAATGGTGGCAGTGGATCTCGGAACTGTGCCCTTGGGCCACTTGAGAGTGATAGCCAGGATAGCCAGGATAGCCAGGATAGCTGTTAAAAGGAGAACACCCTAAAAATGGCCATATCAATTTGGTTGTGAGTCAAACTTGAGTAAGCATTGTGCCAGGTCCGAGTCAACACACCAGGTATTTGGGTAATGTCAACCCAGGATTAATAAACCATGGTTTATTAATTAGGGGGGTATTCCTCCAATAGTCATTTCATCTGATACTCAAATGGTACCCTCCCAATTAGTCACGGCCGGGCTAGGGGTTTATTAATCCAGGGTTGACATTATGAATTGGTCCTGCCAATCTCGCTTTCATGTTGATCATGTTGCCCTTGAAAAAAATTGGGGAGTTCCTCCTAAACAGCCCAGTTCTCAACGTTCATCCCAGACATTAACCAAGATCTATGGTTTCCAGGGCCAATGAATTGATTGTTTGAAGGAGAGCAATACTGTTAAAACCATGGTGAACTGAATTTGGACCAATGATTTTTTTGGTTCCTGTAGATTTTCTAAGAAATCAATTGTGGGAGCCAAGCAAATTTCGATCCATCACTATATGGGTGTGGCTCAAAATTATCACCAAAAAATGGATGTTTTAGTAACTAGCAGTGACAAGTCTTTTGGGCTGGCACACCCAGTTTTGTGTCGCCATTGCCATATGCGCCACGGTCAAAACTTGGGTACACGGTCACTGGAGAATGGTCATTGATCAATAGGGACTTACATAGCCAGCGTGTCACTGGATTTTCATTATGGGATGGATGGCCAAAAGGGGCCCTATACCCATCGTAACTTGACCAACTTGCACATGAGGGTTTGTCGGAAAACAGGTGACCTCCAAGATATTTTGTTTATTAGCACTTTTTCCTATGAAAAAATGCAATTTGGGGGTATGAAACATGTGAAAAAAGACACCGGTATGACAAGTGTGACAACACATGTTCAAGACTCATGTATCTCAGTTCCATCGGCCCTGACTAAGGACATTACTAGCGAGGACGTGAAGGGTTTGATGTGATTGGACCAGTAAGTTGGGGTGGGATTGAGGACTACAGGACGATTTGCCTATTGGAAGGGCCGATTGATAGGTCAAATCTACCTGTTTTTTTCGTGTTTTATATTTATATCTGGTTGTCATGGACATGAGCCCTAGTAAATACCCTCTGGTTATTTAACATAGCCATGGGAAATGGCCCATTTATAGATGGTTTACCTATTAAAAATGGTGATTTTCCATGGCTATGTTAGTCATAACCAGATGGTAAGTTCCCTAGCCGTTTTCCCACTTCTTCACCACAACCGCGGGGGATGATCCCCCAAGTTTCTCAAAAAAACCTCCCCAACTAGGACTCACAACCCCATTTTATTGTTGGGGTGCTGCATCCTGAAAAATCAATGGCCATGCAACAGGAACCGATTGATTGGAGACCATTAACATAGGCCTATTTTTTAGGCCTATGTAAGGGAATATCCACAGAAAAATGGCCTTTTATGGTACTAACGTACCTCCATTTTAGGATCCTGAAATTCCCAGGGACTAAATCCTTGCTGTGTTTGGGGCTCCTACCCGCCTCGAAAACTACGAATCAAACGATAGCGCCACAGAGTCTGAAATTTTGCTCCTTGAAGTCCTCCAAACACCCAAAGAAAGACATACTGTGGATGGGCCAGCGAAATTCTGCACCACCAAAAGGATGACTGAAAGCCTATAAAGAATGGGATAATCCAGCTATCGGTGCAGGATTTCGCTGGCCCATCCACAGCGTCCACAGTAACTTTTTATTTTCACCGAGATTTTCGTCATACGAACCGTTGAAACGCTTCGTCCTCCATGATTTTTCCCCACCAAGGTACCCTGATGACCTGGATGATGAGTCGGTGCTGATCCCGGTGGATGTCACAGGAGAAGAGTGTCCCACCAGCTATGAGGACCTCATAGAGAAGGCCAGTTTTCCCGTTCACCATCAACCCATGGGCTTCAAGGGTTCAACCAGGGGGGATTTCACCATGAAAAATGAGGATTTTCCAGCAAACATGGGGGGACTTCACCACCAAAACTAGTGGTATAACTGGTATAATGGGATATAATGGGGACACTTTCTATAGTGATGTTAGCCCTGTGTTGATTTATGCTATGGCCCACTTAGTTTCATGATTTAGCTACTGTTTTTATTGGTGATTTTTGCTAGAAGACGGTGAAATGATAAGAGAGTACCAATCATGGGGGATTTAACATGGTTTAGCCATGAAAATGAGGATATACCAGGATTGATGGGCAAATTGGTTGGGGAATTTGTGGTTGAAACTCTCATATTTGATGGACCGAAAACACGGTTTCCAGTGTCGAGTTTCCCCTAAACCAATCCATATATATATACATATTATACACACACCTATAAGGTGAACCTAACTAGATATATTATATGTGTACAGAATACATTATGTTACAGTCAGTTATAATCCGAATATCATGTGTATATATATATATCCATAAATATTATATATCTATATCTATATCTCTATATATATATACATACACATATGTATATATATATATAGAGATATATATTTGTATATCAACAACGTTTTGCTTGTCCCAGGTGGGCGCCCTTGGAGCAGTCAAGGCTATGGTGAATGCGGCGGACTTCTTCGCGCCTTGGTGGCCGCTATGGGGGTACCCCCAAAGCGATGGTTTCGTGGAAAATCCCATGAACATGTCTACAAGGTGGTGCCCCATAGTTAGCTAAGTTGGTTTCTAACTCCCATAACTATGGTTTATGGCAGATATAACTATAGTTAATGGGGTTTATAAACCAACTTATAACTGGGGGGCACCATCCTGTAGAAATGGATGCTTAAAATGGGGTATCATCCATTTCTAGATGGGATTTTCCGGATATATCCCCACTTCGGAAAGCTCGAAATGGAGGATTTTCCATGGAAGACATATGGGAAAAATTCCTGGACAGATGGAGGATTATATAAATGGGATGACCCACACCTGGGGCCCCTGGGGATTTTCGTCGACGATCGTTTTCCAGAGGGAAATGATCCCAGAATTGTTTGTAATGGGACTGATACTGTGGATAATTGTGATTATATATATATACATACAATATTATAATATACATATATATATATATATATATGTATATATATATATACAATATTATAATATATATATATATTCTGGAGGTTTCTTAGAATTGGGGATCCTCAAGTCACCGTGCTTGTTTCAATACGAAGTCATGGTCTACTGACCTCCACATTTTTCAACAAAAGGTTTGAGACTATCATCAAAATTCATACCTGTCGTGAGATTTGATGGAGAGATTTGATCTGTAAGGAGAAACTCTTTTCTTCTTTCCAACTGTTTAACACTATTTTTAAAAAAATCAGTATGGTGGTTAAACATGTCATTCAACCATAAGGATAGTGTTATTTGAGCTAGTTATATAGTTACTAAACTGGAAACTGTGAGGGTTTTTGGTGAACCATCCATTTAGCACCGATTGGATAACAACCATTTCGCTGGGACAACCAAAGAAAGGCTTTCAAGCAAGGATGGTATTCAACCAATGCATAGGTTGATCTGGTTGTGTTGATTGCCTTTGAAGCTCATGGCTAGACCAAAAGATGACCATTTTGTCCGGAAGATAGACGATATAGGACTCCAAAATTTAAGACTGCCGACATTCCACCCTTTCTGAAAGGGTGTGTTTTCACATAGGTCAAATGGGGTCGTACAGAATCATCCGTTTTCAGAGTGATGCCTGCTTTTGAGGAGGTACCTGTTGTCATATGAAATGCCCCTGCATTGGGAAACCCTGGGCCGAAACCGATTATTTGGCTTTGTCTGAACATTTTAGGGGGACAACTCCCAGAAAAAAATGGTCCATCGTCATTGAATGGAGCATTTGAATGGCAAAAAAATGGGGATAGATGGGGATGGGTCAAACCCTATGAATACTATCATATTTAGGGGAATAACCATCCAGTAATCAGCCATTTTAGGGGGTGTAAATCCACCATTTTTCAGACAAAAATGCTGAACCCAGGAAAAGAATAAGAAAAAGTTCAGTACAGAACAGTTCCTCGACAGAGACGCCTGGGCGTTGATGGCCAACTTAAAAAGCGGTGCTTCCGAAAAAATGGACGCCCCAAAAAGACAAGGAATGAAAGAGCAAGTAGGGAATAAAGCATCTATATTTCCAGGGATTTTTGGGGTACACATTCAGAGAAAACCCGGTTTTGACCGTTGGCGGAAACAGGCCAGTTTGAATTTGGATCCAGTACTTTGAACCGACTGGAACAAGAAACGTGGTCAAATTCTTGATTGAACATTGAATTTATCAAGAAGTTATCAAGCAGTCTGGCTGTGGCTTTGAATTTTGTACAGCTCTAAACACCAAAAGCGCTTCGAAAAATCATCCTATGCTGACCCCCAAGTTCAATGTGCGCAGTTCGGATCCTAGAGGCCTGGGCGCCTGGGCGCCTGAAATTACCTTTTTCGCCGGGGATATATTCCATGAATCTAAGTGGATTATGATTCATGAAATTCATGGTTAGCCACTTACCAACTGAGAATTCCATCAATCTGATTGGCTTCTGATTCTGCTGGAACTGGGATCCCTGCTGGGTTACTGGGTTCCGAGAAAACGGTCGCCAAGGAATGAGTAGTGAAAGTTATGGATCCCAAGAAATCCTGGACCTCACTTGAATCATGTTACCCAATCTGGTAAACGTTTACACTGTAAGCGAAGTGGAACATCACCATCTTTAAGTTCGGTAAATCATGGTAAATTCGCAAGTTGTAGACGAAAGTCCGGAGTTGGATGCCAGGTTGCCGCTTCCAATGACTGTGGGTCTCTTGGGCGAGCATGTGGAAAGAACCATAGTAATATAGATCATTGGCAATATGAATTCTTTATATATATATCATTATATAGGATTGCACTTTGATATTGTTTCAGAATTCATAACATATATATATATATATACATGCACATTATATATATATATATACACATCATATCTTTGTCTGCGTGTTCTTGCAATATACCAAGAAAAATGCAATTCAACAACTTTCATCGATGTCACCTTGGTGCCGGCGAAGAAAGGTTGTTTTACCATTTCCAAGATTAAGATAGACCCTGAAGATTGCCAATTACTAGAGGATTGTGTAGTCTTTGAACCCCGTACTTGGCAGGGTCTGTGCTAGTTGGGGAGGCTAATTTCTACTCGCCATTTCTTGGGGTGGACGATTTTGAGACCAACCCTTAGCCTTACATGGGGTGGGGGTAGAGAAGTAGCTCGAAGTTTTGCCAGGTCATTGACATTGAGGGTTGAAAACGGCACGGCTGAGGTGAATGGATGTCATTTTTGAGTACGGAAGAAGGTCTTGATGAGGAGGGTGGAGAAGAAGAAGATTGTGAGGAAGATGAGGTTTACGGGGTTGGATGGCAGGGGCAGTGTCAGTGTCAGTGTCAGTCGCCAGTCAGTCAGTGTGTGTGTCTACACAGATATCTTCACAGATATGTGTATATGTGTATATGTATATGTATATGTACATATATATATATACATATATATATATACACACATGTATACTTGGATGACCCTGGAACTTGGGATTGATGGTTAGTAAGTGATCCGCCCCTTAGCACTGGATTCATTGGATATGTTGTGTGTTTGGAAGCCAGCTACCAAGCATCAATCTCAGCTACGAGGATTCATCCTGGGGAGGATGGGTTGGTGTGCGAGTCACCAATCGAATGGGCAACAGTCTCTACCATGCACATGGGTTAGGTACCTGGAAATGGGGTATAGCCCCCAAACTTCTCCATTTAATGGGGAATGACCGGTGGATGGAATGGAGTTTTCCCTAAATTTTCAGACAACCCCCGTCAGGTCAAGCCAAACACTGATTCACATCAGCTACAACTCATCATAATCGGTTCCATCTTCAATATTTCTAGGGTTATGGGGGTTATATATCTATAGTTAATGGGGGTTATACACCAACATCACTGAATTTTTCAATCCCAGACTTCTATTGCTCCCTAGTGTGGTGAAGCACTTCCTGGTCCAACATGAGTACTGTCTTTCAAGCCACAGGAGGTGGAACCCACACCCAAGAAGCGCAAGACCTGAGCGGCAGCAGCTGGTGAAAACAGCCCGGCCTTGGAACATGGTGAGCTGTCCGATGTTTTTTGGTTTCAGAAAAATCAAAGAGCCCAACATATGACATCACACACCCTGAACTATGCCTTGGTGAACATGCCCATATAGTCCAGCGTAATGCCGATTTTTGGTCTCAAAGATGCATCCACATGAATCTCCACCTGAAAAAAATGGGAGGGTTGAGCATCAGCTTTTGGCGGGCATTTCTATGATGTTTTGCAACATTATGGTTGTCCTGTTGAACATGCTGGGATCTCTTTGGGAACTTCTGGGCTTCCCAGTCTGAGGGAATCACCATTTGAGAATGGCTAGATATCATGGAAGCAAATGCTCGTGATCTTTCAGACGCTTATGTAGCATCCCAGATGATGCGCCCCATTTTGAGTCACCATGTTCCCATGGTCATCGTTCATTAGCATATGTGATGTTGTATAGGTCCTACATGTCTTTGTTCCACAAGATGCATTGGGAATTGGGATAGTGAAATTCACGGTTAAAATGACCAGCCGGTGATTTCACGATATTTCACGTGGCTATGGACATTTTCCATTGAGTTCGATGATTTCCAAGCTGAACAATGGTGATTTTTCGGCAAATCCGCAGTGGGGGCCGAGCTGGGACTCTCTCAGGCGGCACGACGCTTGCAGGACACCAAGGCCAGCGGTGAACCAGGTTTTTTTCACATCGTTTTGTACCGCTGATGGAAATATTTCATGCTTGTGAAGCAGAGATGGGTCATTTTCCCAAAACATGACACATGGGCTAGATTCCGCTAGATTCGGCTAGATTCAGCTCGACCTGTCATTTGACCCTCCGAGATTTCTTGTGGAATTGCAGTGGTCACTGGCGACAGGGGCAGGGATCTTTTTAGGATGTACCATTAGTATTACGATTAGTATTGATTAGCCCCAATAATGAATTGTACAATATGATATTATATGCCCCAATATATTTAAAATATGATATAAATTGCCGGCAATAAGAAATAAGAGCAGTTGGGTCACGAGTTCGCAGCCCTGACCCGCTGGGATGATTTTGAAAAGGGATACCCCGAAAAATTGGGGATGTAAAGTGACCGCCAAATAGTTGGTGAATGGGATGGTTCATGATTGGGTTTACCACATGATCTTGGTGAATCATGGGAATAACCTATGTCAAAAGGAAAAACCAAAATGGGGAACATTGGGGATGATTGAAAGTTTTTGCTGGGGCACCGTGGAGAGCCTCCTCATTGATTTTCTGAAAATCTTGGTGTGTGGCCACCCTGTGGTCACCATTGATTCCCCACATCCCACAGGTCATCACTGGAGAGTTGGGGACACCTGGGGGTGCTGGACCTGGAACCCCCCACTTTTGTGGGATATGATACTTCAATGGGGTATAAACCATTTGCCGACCTGGCAGGATTGGTTCAGTTTTTGTGGCTTCGGTGGCTTCCAAAATGTAAAAAAAATGGGACATCACTCAGTTCATGTCACCACCTCTGCCATTTTGCACCAGCAAAAAGTACCAGAGAATAGCCATGTTCCTGCTTATAAGTGGTTGGACTATGTTACACTCTTATACTTCCCAGTTTCTTCGGGATTACTGTGTATATATATAATATCATATATACATATAATCATGTGTATATGATATATATATATATATATATATCTATATCACACACACACACATATATATATCATATATATATATCATATATATATATATATATATATCCGTCACACATATATATGTATGTATATATACACCATATATATATATATGTATCATATATATATAATATCACATATATAGATACATATCATATATATATATACATGTCACATTTCTGTATACATATCACATATATCTATATGTATATATATATATAACACACACACATATATATTATATATATAACATTTTTTTGATATATATATATCATATATATATATATATCATATATATATATATATCATATGTATATACATATCACATATATATATAAATTTATATCACAAGCACACACACACATATATATATATGGCGTATATATATATACACACATATATATATATCACATATACATATATATATATATATCACATACATACATACATACAGACAGACAGACAGACAGACAGACAGACAAACAGACAGACATACATACATACATACATATATATATATATCACCTATGTATATATATATATCACACACACACATATATATATATATCATATATATATATATCATATATCATATATATGTATATATATACATATGTATATCACATATATATATATATATCACATATATATATATGTATATCACATATGTATATATATATATATCACACACACACATATATATATACATATACACTTCGCAAGAGGGATACTGTATCCATTGGCCATCAAGTCATGGGTCAAAGCATTTTTTGACATTCCCAAGGCTTGACTATTCTCGGACCTCTTTTTCCTTCACCTTCATCAACGACATCGAATTTCCGCTCACGTTGGGAAATCCCAGGGGTTGGGCTTGCTGGGCTGGATATCAAGTGATGGACCAACCCCAGTAGACTTGGACAAGATCTACCTGGCCCCCCAAAGAATCCACGGTGTGATGCCAGTGAGCTTCCAGGAGCTTATTGGTGGGATGATCCCTCAGTAAATGGTTTGTCGGCGTCCCAACGAGGGTTGCGGCTTCATTTTTTTTGGAGGACACCAACACCACGCACCAAATGGACCACAGGTGCCCAATTTTTAGTGCTTGATTGATCAAGAAAGAGGGGTTGCTCCCAGAGACGGCCCCTTTAACGAGTAGGTGCGTGATGATCAATGGTAAATCAGATTGGCTGCTTGATTTTTTACCAAGAGGAACTTGTTTAAAGCAATGATCAATTGGTGGTTTGGGGCCTGGTGGTTCAGGTTTTCTTGATGCCGGAGGGGCCGGAGGGGTATCTAAAGGAATCCACCACCCCAAATCACTGCTTGATTTTTGGTACTTTGTGGTAAGTTCACTGCTGGCTATGGAACATCACCATCTTTTTATAGGTAAATCATCGAACTAAAGGGGCAATCACCATAGCAAACGTTTAAATCGCCAGAGGGTTTAAATCATCATTTTTCCCATTATATTCCCATTATACAGGGTCCCATTTGGGGGATTTTGAACATCACTAAAACAAGTATCTGTTGGAGATTATATGCCCTTTTTATTTGGGTGAAACATTAGGACATTTACCAACCACTATTATACTTTTTTCTTTGTTGGTAAAATCCTACCATCCTTTTTCGTTCAGTTCAGTTCGTTTTTCGGGTGCGACGAAGTTCGAGGTGTCAACCCACGGACTGTCAACCAACCGCCACCGGAATTTACGCCGGTGTCACCATCTCCAGAGTAGAGGCCGGCTAAGGCTTTGCCATGAAACCGGAGGTGTTTTTTCGGAATCGTCGTCGAGTTTTGGGCATCTTTTTTTGTGCAAGGGAAGTGTTTTAAACAGAACACACCCAAAATCCGTTGATTCATGGGGAGAAAACATGAGAAAACTCATTTCCTCCAAGGGTGAATCATCAAAATGGCAATACTTCGCGGTACACCCAATTTCTTGACGCAACCATCTACATCAAACATCTACATCTATGTCTAATATACCTATATCATCCTATATCTATACCATCTATACCATCTATACCCATTTCAATCTCCGCTCAATCTCATGTGGCCTAGGGTAGTCTCATCCATGCATACGAACGTAAACAGAATAACTTGACACACTCTACCCTACCCTACCGCCCCATCCCATACACCCCATGCCATACCCCATACCACAGCATTGCAGAACCACGTTTCACTACATCCCGTTCCATTGCATTTGCAAATTTGCGACTTCATTGATGGTTGACAAGCTGTTGTCGTTAAGCCCTTAACAAGGCCTAAATCACAGAGGTGATTGGTTGAATCCCCCCAATCTTGGCTGATTCTTGTGGTTACTCATTTTTTGATATCGGAGCATCGTCATTTCTGCCTTGCCCTACGTCTTTGTGTGAAGCTAGGTCGCCTTCGATTCTTTTTTCAGAAGAAAACCTGAGTAAATTCAAGAACAGTTTTTTGGTTCTTTGGCTTCAATGACTCGGTGGAAAATTCAATTAGGGTCAACTTGCAATCCGATTCATATATGGAGGGCCACTGATTTGGGTCTCAGAGTCTTCGCTGCCCCATTTTTCGTCGGTACTTGTGAGGCAACGACTAAGTTGGTCGAAGCAACCTGAATTTTATATAACTTAATGGTAGATGTAACCCACTAGTCATGGGGGTAACCAAGAAATACAACGTTTGGCCCCAGCTTGTAGTTTTTAAAACAGCCACTGAACATTTGGAGGCTCTCACTTAACTGGGAAGCCATGGTGGATTCTTTCACGACAGATCATGGGGGCCTCAATGGTCACTGGATTCACTAGATTCAGATTAAAAAACTGCCTGACATTTTCGTGTACAAAAAAAGGCATCGGCATAGATTTATTATTTTTTGGTAATGTACGTACCTATACAACATCCAATATATATATATATACATACTTGTATATACACATCAATACCTATGTATAATCAACTGATATATATATATATATTTATAGTTATGTATACAAGATAGTATGTGAACTGATATTATAGATAAGTGTTATATATATATATTATACATAGAGTGTCTATGGTAAAAAATATAGTATTATGTTCATTTCCCCGTTCGTTTCATCTATCTATCCCACAGAAAATCAACTTTCCAACAAGTATAAATCCCATAGTCCCATTATATCACCATTAAAACACCACATTCATTCTATCCCATAAAAAACATCATAAATCTCCACAAAAAGAACTTCAAATCCATAAAAACATCATAAATCCCATCAAACGATCATCAAACCCATTGTAAAAACAACATAAATCACCATAAAAGCATCATCAAACCCATGAAAAAAACATTACACATCCCAAAAAACATCATAAATCATTGTAAAACATCATCAAACCCATTAAAGACATCATAAATCCCAATAAACACAACATCAAACCAAAAAAAACATCGTCAAACCCATAAAAGCATCATAAATCCTCATAAAAACATCACCGGACCCCCAAAAAACATCGTCAAACCCATAAAAACATCATAAATCCTCATGAAAACATCATCAAACCCCATAAAGAACATCATAGATCCCATTAAAAAAACACAATCAAACCCATAAAGACATCATACATCCCCATAAAGACATAGTCAAACCCATAACAAGATCATCAAACCCATGAGGAACATCATCAAACCCAGAAAAAAAATGGTCAAACCCATTAAAAAACAGAAAGGACTGTTGTGGCCGCCCAAATCTCACACTTAATATGTATAAAGAATACTTCTTGTGAGATTTGGGTGTCACAACATTCCCTTCCGATAACTTGTGTTCTTGTGAGATTTGGGTGTCACAACATTCCCTTCCGATAACTTGTGTGTTGATATCTGTTCAAGCCCCAAGGATTAATCTGGATTAATCTGGGACCAAAAAAACCAAAAAAAACCAAAAAAACCAAAAAAAACAAAAAAAACAAAAAAAACAATGTTTTCAGGACTACTTGGATCAGGGCTATCTTTAGACTAGTCTCCAAAACATTGTTTTTTTTGTTTTTTTTTGTTTTTTTTGTTTTTTTGTTTTTTTTGGTCCCAGATTAATCCAGATTAATCCAGATTAATCCAAGCTAATCTACGATCATCAGATCTATTTAACATTTAAGTACTAACATGTGGTTGGCTAATTTTCTATATTCTCTGGTCATCTGCCTTTATTGGCTTTTAGCGCCGCTCTCTCTGTGTCTGGACTCCTGAAGCAAGTTAATCTAAGATCATCAGATCTATTTAACTACTACTTTCTAACATATGGTTGGCTAATTTTCTATATTCCCTAGTCATCTGCCTTTATTGGCTTTTAGCGTCGCTCTCTCTGTGTCTGGACTCCTGAAGCTATGGCATGTGGTTGGCTAATTTTCTATATTCTCTGGTCATCCATCAAATATAGGCCATGTCGTTTGAATCCACAAGTAAGCATTAGCACATGGAAGTTTCCTCAAGTAAGGATCCATCAAATATATACCATATTGTTTGAATCCACAAGTAAAGATTGGCACATAGAAGTTTCTTCAATTAAGGATCCATCAAGTGACCCTCCAAACAAAGCCTGAGCACTTTATGCCAGGCGCAGGTTCATGTAAAGATCATATCATTGTCTTTTTACCATTTTGGGACCAAGCATCCATAACATTTGAAACATGCTTCTTTGTTGCAGGCAAAAACCTGGGGATACTTGAAACAGTTTTGGATTTTCCATATACATTTTTCCAATAGTAGCTAGCACTTCAATCTCTATATGTTCACTGACAGTTTCCTCCAAAGATTCTTACTTGAGATTTACATGTGATGCTCTTGGATCTGTACAAATGCTTACTTGTGAATACAAAGAAGTTTATTGTTTTGTTTAAAACCTCTTGACTTGAGATTTACATGTGATGTTCTTGGACCTGTACAGATGTTTACTTGTGAACACAAACAGAAACTTGTATTGTCCTGCCTAAAACATCCTTACTTGAGATTTACATGTGATGTTCTTGGATTTTTGTGGTATATTAGAGCATCTTTACTTGAGATTTACATGTGTAGGGGATGATCCTGGGCCTGTACAGATGTTTCCTTGTGAGCCAAAAGAATCTTTTATGGTTCCTTGAAACCTCTTTACTTGAGATTTACATATGATGATCTTGGATCTTTAGAGATGCTTACTTACTTGTGAACAGAAATAACCTTTTATGATTCTTCAAATCATTTTTGTAAACAAGTGCACTGGGCCTTTGCACTTGCAATTGTTTCAAAGTTTTGGGAAAGGAAACAAGTTGCTGGCATTGCCAGTTTTGATTGCATCACACTATGAATTTTATATGTCCATATTGGTGTCCAAAGGTTTGGGAATCAGTGGAATCAAGTCCAAATGTATAATCAAAATCCTTAAAAACCACATGTCAGCCCTTGAATTTTCATATAAATTTTATATGAAGTTTATATGCAGTTTATATGCAGTTTATATGCAGTTTATATGCAGTTTCAAAACTACATGTAGTTTATATGCAGTTTTGACCAAACTACATGTAGTTTATATGCAGTTTTGAAAACTGCATATAAACTGCATATAAACTACATATAAACTGCATATAAACTGCATACCAAAAATCTACAGATTTTGAATGATTTTGACATGCCTGGAAAGCTGAAAGCTTGAGATTTTGAACTGCTGCTGCAAGAAAATTTGTGATTTTCAAGGATGACAACTTAGAAAGAAAAAGTATATATACACATGCAAGACCTTTTAGGCAGACCACTAACTGAACCAAAGATACTTTGATGAAATGAACCTGAGGGCCATTGCTGCTAAAGTTTCAGATCCTTTTCAAAACTTGGTAAAGGCTGCAAATAATGTTTCTCACGAAATAATTTCATATGTGTCCCATGACATTTGTCAAGACTGCCTGGAACTTACCAAATAAAATTGCAAGACATTTGGCTAAACAATGGTTCAAGAGTTATTCATGACTTTTTTGTGTAGGTTTCCCAGTGAAATAGTTCATGGTTAATTAAAAACTTGACAACAATAGTTAAAAAAGAGGCGGCCACAACAGTCCCCTCCCTTAAAAAAACACGTCATACCCTCTGGTAAATTAACATAGACCCTGGCAGATAGGGGTTGGAAGACTACTTTCCATTAAAAATTGGTGATTTTCAGGGTCTATGTTAATTTACCAGAGGGTAAATCACAATAAAAAGTCCAGATCTGCATCGTTCAGATCATCATCGACCCGGACAGCTTTAACGCCCCGGGCGCCAAGCTTCGAGTCGTCTTTGACTCCGTGGATCGCGCACGGGCACCCGAGGGATGGATTTGAAGCATGAAAAACAGGGGGAACATGGCGATTTCACCGTGAAACCTGGGAAACCATTGGGATTTTTTCATGATTTCTGATGGTGAAGAAATCAAGGTCAATGAGCCAATCTCATCAGAAATGGTGAAAAAAACAATCGGTTTTTTCAATTAGAACGAAGGGAACTTGGAAAAATTGAAGCGCCAAGAAGACTCGGATCGATATGATAAACATGATAGGCCCAAGTTGGTAATTTCACTAGGTTAACTTTGTTGGGTGTATGGTAGGATATATCTATAATATAGTCTAATGAATAACATGTATACATCAACTTACAACTGGAGGACATCACCTCATGGTTGTTGTTTATTTCTGTTGTTTATAGATGTCATCCCCCAACATTCACGTAAAACGATAGGGTTTTGACCCATCGATCTGCAATCTTGGGCATGCTGGGCGTAAGGAAAAGTAGAGAGGACGTTGGGATGATCAGAAGTTCAAAGTCTATAGATTTCAACCAAGTACCCTCCAAAAAAACCATAGAACATCACCATTTTGAATAGGTAAGTCAACTATAAATGGGATGTTTTCAATAGCAAACTGTTAGTTTACCGGGTAACTACCAAGATCATGGGAAGGGCTGCACCATAGCAACAGGACATTCATATGTTATGAGCAGTCGCAGAAAGCAAGATCGACTGAATTCCAGGAATTTGTACTTTCCCAACTGAAATGATCAAAGCGATGTTCTCAAATAAGGAGTACATCCATTTCCCCTGAGAACTGGGAGTTAGTTTGATGCCTTGGTCATCCAAGCAGACGAACAGACCTTTTTGAGGGATTACATCTATCCTTTCCATTCTGGTGGTTATCATAGTCCATGTGCTTGGACCGGGAACATGATTATGGCAGATTTTTCCCATTCTTTTCCATGAGGGATTATACTACCGGACTATCATAGCAGCATATAAAGCCATATAAAAAACACATCAAACAATATAAAACCATATAAATTCCTATCAAACATATTTCGGCGGTTTTCCTGCCCTGCGCCCTACACCCAATTCGCTCTTGGATTAGGCTGGCGCCAACGCGGGACAGTGTCGCTATGGGAACTTCGCCTATGGTGCACACTCCGCCATTGTGAATCAGCCCTGGCTGGGGCGCCTCACCCCGGGGGTCTTCTCTCCAACAGATAGACATTACCCTCTGGTAAACTAACATAACTATGGAAAATCACCATTTTTAATGGAAAAACTCACTATAAATGGCCATTTTCAATAGCTATGTTAAATTACCAGAAGGTAATGAATTTATATGTGGGTAAAGCAATAATAAACCACCCATTTGGGAATCGTTTGTACTACCTATAAAAATGGTGATGACTGGGAGATTATGATTGTTTTACCCACATTACATGACATCGACTTTCTTTCTGGGACGCCTGGAGAGAATTTTGGGCGGTTTTGGAGCTAGGGATGGTGACGAGTTGTCCTGCCTTGAATTGGGGGTTTGGAAGATTACTTTGTACTAAAAGTTAGCAATTGCCGGAGTCATTGCTACTTTGGAGAATGCCAAATGAGGTATTTATACATATATATATATATATTAATGTTATACACATACACACATATTTAGGTGCGCTTTTGGACTATTTCCCCTCGATGGGGTATTTTCCACAGCATTCGAGTTACGGTAAATTTTCCGAAGCTTGCGACGTGCCGAGACGGGGGGCACAACGTGATGATTTCCCACCATGGCACTGATTACCCAATGGCACAGGGATGGGACACACAAAAAACCATAATTCTATTTGGGGACAGCAGGAAAGTCATTGTTTTGTTATACTGAAGTAAACCTGTAGATCCTGAACTTAAATGTGGTTCATTTTCCAAACTGCCGTCTTTGCGAACGGAAGTTCAGTGGGTGAATTCTAACTATTCGTTGGCTAAATAGCTTCGTCTGAAAATGAAGTACCCCAAAATCCCAAGGTTGCTCATCATATTCTTTTGTCCAGATGGCAATTTCAAGGGCATACTGAAGTTTCAGAGACATCTCATCGTGTTGGCCTATGCATCCCATCACATCTATAAAATTCTATAAATATATCCCCATATTTGGCTACTAAATTGTCCCTCTTGGCCGCTAGGTCCCATTATATCGATTTGGAAACATATGAGTAAAATTATAATCATCCCTGAAGTAGATAGAATCTCTAAGTTTCAAAAAACACATCTCATTTTAGAAGTTTTTTTAAAAATATTCTATCTATTCCAGGACTACTAATATGCCAATGAAATACCAAACTAGAATTGTCATGTATATTATTGGTATGTAGTTTGGTTCCCATCGGTATGGTAATATATATATATAGATATATTGTAATTTGGTATTTATTCCAGCACGCATCATAATTGATAATAATAATAGTAAGAACAATAATAACAATAGTAACAATAATAATAGTAGTCATAACAATAATCTTCATAATTATATATAAATAAATATATAATATAAATAATAGACATATACATATATAGAATATATATAGAATATAGAATATAGAATATACCAAACTAGAATTTTCTACAAAAACGGTTCCCATCGCTAAAAGTCTCATGCATCTAAGGTCCGGCGTCGGTGCCTCCACCATCACGCAGGGTGCGGGCCCTGGAGAAATATGGGAGTTTCGGGAGCGTGTTGAGCAACAGAAATATGGTTTTTATATGTTTTTATATGGTATCTTATCCATAGAAGACTTGGATTTTAGCCACAAAGAATGGCAAAAAAAAAACCATAGAGTTGTATTTCACCTATTCAAGAAGTTTTGAATATCAAAGAGTGACCATTTCCCTATGGAACTTTATGTCCGTCATGAAGAATGCTATGTGATTTTCCCATAAAAAGCATTTCTTTACCCTAAGCTGAGATTTGGGGATGGATAAAACACATCGCTTTTCATATGTGAGGGGGGATAAGCCTGGACGAAGTACGTCCGAATTGTTTCCAGTTTTCATGTTCTATCAAACTCCTCAGAAAGCAATCCATAAAACTCACAATGCCATAAATAATCTCTAACTATGAACCATAAATGGGGGCTGCTATGAATGAATTTTCTTAGCTCAAGGCATCTTCATTTTTAGCCCCCCCACCTTGTTGGTGACGTTTTTCGGAAGGATCATATCTTCCAACAGATAGACATGATTTCTGGCTGAATCATAATGGCGTTGCTAGAGATGATGATTGGAATTGAGGGAATCATCCCTTAAAAACACAACCTTGTCGCCGACAGCGAACTATGACATTTTTTTGTGATTTTTTTCTGCTTACTGGGTCACAAGTACAACAAGGACAACAAGTACAGCAAGTACAACAAGTAGTACAACAAGTACAATAAGTACAACAAGTACAACAGGTACAGCAAGTACAAACAAGTACAACAAGAACAACAAGTACAACAACTACAGCAAGTACAACGAGTACAACAAGGACAACAAGTACAACAAGTACAACAAGTACAAACAAGTAAGACAAGTACACACAAGTACAACAAGTACAACGAGTACAAGAAGTACAATAAGTACAACAAGTACAGCGAGTACAACAAGTACAGCAGGTACAGCAGGTATAACAAGCAGGTACAACAAGTACAACAAGCACAGCAAGTACAACAAGTACAACAAGGACAACAATTACAACAAGTACAACAAGTACAACAAGTACAAACAAGTACAAACAAGCACATCCAGTGCAACCAGTACAACAAGCACAACACGTACAACAAGTACAACAAGGACAACAAGAACTACAAGGACAACAAGGACAACAACAACAGCAGCAACAACAACGACAACAACAACAACAACAGCAGCAACAACAACGACAACAACAACAACAACACCAACACACCAACACCAACACCAACACCAACACCAACAACATCCACATCCTCAGTATCTACTCTGGGTCCCAAGGATGACACGTACTTGGGTGTCCGGGGAATTCCTAGGTGCGTAAGATTCACACGAGACAACCCAGGGGTTGTATCATTTTTTTTCTCCAGCTAGATTCAGGGGCTCAAGATACATAGGAATTGTTTGTATAATAGGTTACTTCTTGTATAGATGATGTATGGAATATCCCCACTGCCGGTTGCATAGAGAATATCGCCAGCTACATTTCAAAATGAAATCGCGAAACTGATTTCGGCGGAGCCCAGGAATCACGGCAGGAAGTTTGCAGGCGAAAGTCGATCAGCAGACCTTCATTCCATTGACGTTTGGGGAGCCTAGAACTGGGACGATGGATCCCACGGTTGATCTGTTTCATGGGATCATTAGGCTCGGCGTTTTCAAATGGTCAAGTGGTTGATGGTTATTACAGTTCTTGTTTAATGTGGTTAAAACAATGCCATAAACATCCATAAACCACCCATTTGGGAATGGTTTATAGCACCTATAAAAATGGTGATTTGGGGGCTGGTTTATTATTGTTTTAACCACATTACTTCAATTAAAACACGGATTTATCTCCAATTGTGCTGATGATTTTTATGAATGGCTAGTTGGTTCACCTCCAGTATACGTGGTAAGTCCGACATGACCCTCCCATTTGGTAGATTCTGGTAGCTGAGTTTCCAGACATTTCTGCATAGTGGATTCATAGATTAGTGACAATCTCACCTCGTTGCCATCGCATGAAACTTTGGGGAACATGACTAGCCATACATCATACGCTCATTATAGGTGAAGATTAATATATATTAATTATAGGTGAAGATATCAAGAACTAGAATTCCTCTCAGTTTATCCATTTCATAGGAAACTTTTCATCGTTTCTGTTGGGTCGGGTCCAAGTGTCGTCGATCGAGGTTCAAGATGGGTGGCATTTACCACATCTGCTACTCTGACGACGGTTCCTTCGCCCCAGCCCACACCGACATCGTGCCACAGCGCATCGAGGTGAAGCTGAGGATGGCCATGACATGGCCATAGCTGTGAGTGCTTTAAAACATCGAAAACATGTAGTTTCTGGGCGAAACTGGATGGGTCTAGAGCTCATTTTTTTTGCCATTTTCATGGGAAAAAATATGGAAACATGATACTCACCCAGCGAATGAAGTCCTTCCAAGGATGGCCATGTACGTTCCGCATCGTTAAGGGGGCGACATTTCAACACGCCGAAAACTGTACGTGATTCTAATGGGCCAGTCAGGCCAGGTTCCAGAGAAATGGGCAACAACAACTCGAATCCGGGAGTTTGTTCACAGAACTCAAACAATTCCATATATATATATATACCCTATATATATATATATCCCATAGATATTCCACAGATATTCAATAGATATCCCATAGATATTCCATATATATCCCATAGATATCCCATAGATATTCCATAGATATCCCATATATATCCCATAGATATCCCATAGATATTCCATATATTCCATAGATATCCCATAGATATTCCATAGATATATCCCATATATATCCCATAGATATTCCATAGATATTCCATAGATATCCCATATATATCCCATAGATATTCCATAGATATTCCACATATATCCCATATATATCCCATAGATATTCCATAGATATTCCATATATATCCCATATATATCCCATAGATATTCCATAGATATTCCATATATATCCCATATATATCCCATAGATATTCCATAGATATTCCATATATATCCCATATATATCCCATAGATATTCCATAGATATTCCATATATATCCCATATATATCCCATAGATATTCCATAGATATTCCATAGATATCCCATATATATCCCATAGATATTCCATAGATATTCCACATATATCCCATATATATCCCATAGATATTCCATAGATATTCCATATATATCCCATATATATCCCATAGATATTCCATAGATATTCCATATATATCCCATATATATCCCATAGATATTCCATATATATCCCATAGATATTCCATATATATCCCATAGATATTCCATAGATATCCCATTGATTTTCCATATATATCCCATAGATATTCCATATATATCCCATAGATATTCCATATATATCCCATAGATATTCCATATATATATATCCCATAGATATTCCATATATATCCCATAGATATTCCATATATATCCCATAGATATTCCATATATATCCCATAGATATTCCATAGATATCCCATTGATTTTCCACAGATATCACATAGATATTCCATATATATCCCATAGATATTCCATAGATATCCCATTGATTTTCCACAGATATCACATAGATATTCCATATATATCCCATAGATATTCCATAGATATCCCATTGATTTTCCACAGATATCACATAGATATTCCATATATATCCCATAGATATTCCATAGATATCACATAGATATTCCATATATATCCCATAGATATTCCATAGATATCCCATTGATTTTCCACAGATATCACATAGATATTCCATATATATCCCATAGATATTCCATAGATATCCCATTGATTTTCCACAGATATCACATAGATATTCCATATATATCCCATAGATATTCCATAGATATCCCATTGATTTTCCACAGATATCCCATAGATATTCCATATATATCCCATAGATATTCCATATATATCCCATAGATATTCCATATATATCCCATAGATCTTCCATATATATATATCCCATAGATATTCCATATATATCCCATAGATATTCCATATATATCCCATAGATATTCCATATATATCCCATAGATATTCCATATATATCCTATAGATATTCCATATATATCCCATAGATATTCCATATATATCCCATAGATATTCCATATATATCCCATAGATATTCCATATATATCCCATAGATATTCCATATATATCCCATAGATATTCCATATATATCCCATAGATATTCCATAGATATCCCATAAATATTCCCCATTGATTTTCCACAGATATCACATAGATATTCCATATATATCCCATAGATATTCCATAGATATCACATAGATATTCCATATATATCCCATAGATATTCCATAGATATCCCATTGATTTTCCACAGATATCACATAGATATTCCATATATATCCCATAGATATTCCATAGATATCCCATTGATTTTCCACAGATATCACATAGATATTCCATATATATCCCATAGATATTCCATAGATATCCCATTGATTTTCCACAGATATCCCATAGATATTCCATATATATATATATCCCATAGATATTCCATATTTATCCCATAGATATTCCATATATATCCCATAGATATTCCATATATATCCCATAGATATTCCATATATATCCCATAGATATTC